GGTTCGAGTCCCGGACCCGGTGGCTTAAACTCATGCCGGGCACGTGTGCGTGCGTGCCCAAGATCCCGAGAGGAGAATGGAGGAGAAGGGATTGCGGCGCGGCCATCCCCCCGTGGGGTGATTTCTCGCTTTCAGTCTCTATGTCTGTCTGGTGAGCGCACGCGCCCTATAGCAAAAACCTCTCAGAAAAAAATCATTTACTTCTTTTATTGTCATCGCTTCGTAACTTGAGCACAGAGATAGAGAAAGCCTCCAGGTCTGGGACCCGAATCACGGGTGACCGTGGGGGGAGTCCAGTGACTTAGCCTCCAAGGTTTATTGTCTGCGTGAGTACAAGAGACAGAGACAGAGACAGCTCTCCCAGGAGGCCCATCCCGCGCCCACTGTGCCCGGGAGTCTGGCACCAGCCCGGGACCTCCCAGGTTGGCCCGGTGTGGCTGCGTTTGCACCTTCTGCAGAGACGTGGCCAAGCCTTTCTTGGTGCCCTTGGTGCGGGGCCTCCGAGGCCCTCCGCCTCGCCTGGGATGGGATCCTTGCTACTTTCCAGGGAGGCCGCTCTGGCCTCCCCGCCCCAGCTCCTGCACGGCAGGGCTTGCCGTCTCACCTCTGAGGACTCCTGGGAGGACAGGGTGCCCTGGTCCAGAGGGCCACATGCTGCCCGCGCCTCGGCCCGGCCCCCTGAGGGGGTCCTCCCCTTTGCCATCTCGCTGTTCTGGGCCCCAGCCCGCCGGCCTATAGGGGGCAAGCCGCCTTGCTCGCTAAGCCAGCTCCTGCCACCGGCCCCCAGCGGAGCTGTTTCCCGTGAGCAGTGGTGAGAGGCAGTACCCAGCAGGGGTGTCGGGGTGTCTGGCGGGCTGGCTCCAGGGAGGCAGAGGCCAGGTGCAGGCTGCCCTGCACCTACCCCTGGAGGCCCCAGGCAGAGGCCAGCAGAGGTGCGCTGGAGTTTGGCTGGTGATGGCATTTCTGTGGTTCCCTGCGACTGAGGCGGTGGCTAGGACCGGAGGCCCTAGGACAAGGTTTGGGTCATGCTCAAGGCGCTTCCCAGGGGACTCGTTGGCCCTGCTTTGCAGAGGGGCAGGACCTTGTCAGACCTGGGGAGGAGGGCGCAGGGCCCTGCAGCTGGGGGAGGATGGTCGCCTAGGGCAGCTCCAAGCAACTGCAGGGGTGCAGGGGGTAGGCCTGCAGCCGTGGGCCTCCCCGTGGGTCAGCAGAGCAGTGATGGCCACCAGGCCCCGTCCCCAGGGCGCGCAGGCGGCTGCAGTGGCAGGGCAGCCCCAGCGTGAGGGCGTGCCTGCCCGCGAGACCTGGTGCTGAGGACGGGGCCTGGCCGGCCTGCGGGTACAGTGGAGGGGCCCGGGGGCAGAGGCGGG